ATGGCTATATTGTGTCAGGCCAGTTAACAGTTTACTTGCCTGTTTCCTCTCTTGCTATTTATTTTCAGATTTTCTCCTAGTTGGCATTCAATCCACTTCTCTATCCTTTCCTTGGAAACTCAGGTTTCCAGGATTATCATCTGTATCTTTTTCACATGGTCCTTATGTCTTTGTTGTAGAAAGTCTGGGTAGTATGTCTGCCTTGTCTACCATCTCAAAATTACACTATCCTTTAATACCATTTTCCAATGAACTTTTTAATTCCCCCTCTTGGCTATAGCAGTGTTCAGTAGTGGTTACCAAGATGGGTTGTATGGAAGAGGTGCAGTCATTCTCTATATCATAGATACTTGTTATTTTTGGTGATGAGCATAGCTAAATCAAAGTAAATTATCCAGTTTGACCAATGTAAAGTAGAGCAAAGATGAGAAGGTAAATGGGCAGGGAAACTAGAATGCTATAAACAAATCAACCAAAATGTAATTAAAGAGAATGTTAACAGATTCTGAAAAAATTTAAGAGAACAATGTGCAGAAATTGTCAGACAAGAACCTAATTTACTGTGTAAACTTCCAACAAAACCACATAAAAATAGCATTTAAAACTGACCAAAAGTAATTTTTAAAAAGTACTTGGAACTTCACCAGGGAGGAGATCTAGGCATCCAACAAACATATGAAGAAATGTTCACGATCACTAGCCATTAGAGAGATGCAAATCAAAACAATATGAGATATCATCTCACACCAACAATAACAGCAAAGATGAAAAATGGAGAAGACAATAAATGCTGGCGGGGATGTGGAGAGACTGGGACACTCCTGCATTGTTGGTGGGATTGCAAAATGGTCCAACCACTCTGGAAAGCAATATGGCAATTCCTCAGAAGGTTGGAAATAGAAATGCCTTATGATCCAGCAATTCCTCTACTTGGTATTTACCTACAAGAAATATGAGCCATAACACGAGTAGATATATGTACACCAATGTTCATAGCAGCACTATTTACAATAGCAAAAAGATGGAAACAGCCTAAGTGCCCATCGATGGAAAAATGGATAAACTGTGGTACACAACTGAATATTATGCTACCTTGAAGAATAAATAACAAGGAAGCTGCAAGCCACCACATAACATGGCTGAACCTTGAGGACATTATGCTAAGTGAAATTAGTCAGTCACAAAAGGAGAAATACTGCATAGGACCATTATTGTAAAAGAGTAAGAAAAAGAACCCACCCTAAAAGAGGGGGAAAAAAATCTTTGCTGATCACCAGGATGTATGGGATGAGGTGAGGGTAGGGAGGGGAAGATGGAGCACAGGATAGGGAATACACACAGGATAGCTTGGGTGGTGGTAGCAGGGCAATACACATGAAGGGGGAGGGGAATGGAAGAACAAGGTGGATGAGAGAACAGTTAGTCAGGTTTTGCATGGGTTAAGTGGGACAGAGGTAAATAATGATGTAAGCACAACCTTGGAACAACAGGGCTCTGGGATACAGGGATTGAGGCATGATTTGAATGGGTAAAATGGGGGAAATAATGTTAAGATGCTGACTGTCTTTTGAATCTTGGTTTCCCTTACCTAATATTGTAAACTAGACACTTGAGGGGGAGAGAAAGGAATAGTCAGAAACATCACTATAGAAAGCTTTTAAGTCTGTCTTCTGCCTATAATTGATTGGAATACCTAAAATGGGGTTTGAACTTGCCCAGCGAAGGCTTCCTGTGGAGCCTTTGCATTGCATAAGACCATAGGTGGAATCCTGAACCCCATCCAGAATCTTCTGAGGTGGGAAATTTCTACTTGAAAGGACAAGCAGACCATCCAGGAGCTTCTAGAAGAACAGAAGATACTTCTTGAAACAAAGACCAACAGGAAAAACAAAAATAGTAATGGCAGTCTGATTGACTACTACAAGAACAAGCAAGTTGTTCTCCTGGGAGCCATAAAGGCAAGCAGTCAGTTCCCTCAGAGCATAACCCCTTCTAAGACTAAGACACAAGGGGAATACACGAGCAGACATGTGGTCTGACTGGTGACCACATTGGTCACCGATAAGGGGAAGTGGGGGAAAAACAGCAATGAAGTTGTGAGCTAAGTCCAACCAGGTTCAATAGACTCCTGTGAACCTGGATTGAGACCTGATTGGCCAGCAGTATGGCAAGACCTGGGGACTCCTGGGCCTAGAGACAGTGACATGGCCACAGAGGGCTAGAGCAGAGAGTAAAGCATTCAGCTGATATGAAGAGAGGGGAGATGCACAAGAACACCCATACTTGCAGATAGTACCCACTTGTCCTGACTTCATTGGCTGGATGATCAGAACTCGACTAGAAGAAAGAAGAAGAAGAAGAAGAAAAAAGAGTAATCCACTAACAATTTGATGAACTTGGCCTATACTTATGGATGTAGTAGATTAAAAGGAACAAATCTTTACAGCAAGGATTATTCCCAACCCCTCAGTACACACGGTTGCCAGGGATGGGCAACTTAGACATTGGCTATGTAAAATGGTGGTGGTGGTGGAGGGAGGAGTGTCTACAAAGGCAAGAAGTGACTGGCTTATAAGCTTTCAAGAGGGAGACTAGATCCAGAGGGTATGGGGGAAGGTAGAATCTCTACTGAGTGATTTCCAATCTGTTGGGATGGAGCTGATGAAAGGAGATGGGGTTAAGACTCTTGTGGTACAATAGTGAATAATTGCTATCTGGACTGACTAAGAGGGTCAGAAATGTAAAGGTAGAGGTTTTGTAACAAAAGGAGGGGAGTGGTTGATTTTGAAGCCCGGGAGCAGACGTACCTGGGATCATCAAGTGAGATGAGTGGAGTGGGGGTCCCTACCCAGAGAAGCAGTGACGCCAGAGATGGAGGCAGAGATGATGACAATGATGTGGAGAGATTGAGCAGAAGGGACTCTGGTCTCAGGGAGTGAGGTTGCATGCTGACAGCCGGGGGGCAGGTTTGTGGGGTGTACCCTTCGGTTGTTTGATGATACATGAAGGGGATTGTAATCATTGCAATGAAACAAAATATGATAGGATGAATGTAAAGCTGGTGTTCTCCCATGTAAACTATCACATAATTCACAATAAACACTTTAAAAAAACAAAAACAAAAAGTACTTGGAAAAAGTAAAATGGCAATTTGAGACTAGATTCCATTACTGCTTCTGCTAACTAAGAATATCTTCCCTCTGTAGTCAAGTGAATACAAAATGTCATATCTAGTTCCCAGAGAATTGAAATGCAAGTAATTATCGGAAATCTCCTTATGCAGGAGGTGCTCAGAGATTATGCTTTTACAAGCAAGTTATTTTCAATGTGTTTATATTTACTATGTTAAAACAATGTAGTTTGAGCTATATGTAATATTCTTAAGATATGACTGTGCTATACATTCTCAGAAAACCTTTCTTATAATACGTTAATCAATATTTATTTAGCAAGTCTGTTTATTGATTTCAGAACAAGCTCTAACCTGACATTGTCCTGTCACCAGTCTGAAGGCTCAGCTGCCAGCATATATATTGTTAGCTCTATCACTGACAGCCCCACTTTAAGAAAGTGTGCCTTAACTTTCAAAGATTGTAAGCCCTATTGTCCAAACCCTATACTGATACTGTGCTGTAGCATAAGAACAGGACCACAAAGTCGATTTGAACCACAAGATGGCGGCTCAAAACCACCAGCTACTCCTTAGAAACCCTATCAAGTCGTTGGGACTGACTCGACAGCTCTTAACAACAATAACATATAAACACCTGTGTAATTATTGTGCCTTGAGCTCTGGTTTCATTTCATTCCAAATAATTTTTTAAACCGTTAATAAAACCTCTCTATTTCACCTTGAAACAGCATTCACATTTTTTCACTACAACAAAAGCAAACAAATAAACCATACATACATATACACATATCTGATAGTTCAGTCTGTAAAGGATTTTTAAAAGGTATGAGTCAATAGAGACAAAGAAAGAATGTGGTCAGTTTAATTCAATCAGAAATCTTGGAGAGCAAATGTTAGTGATCTATCTAGTTGCTAGCTGGGGCCGTACTGCAGAGGCCATGCTGACAAGGCACCACGTGAGGAACATGATGTTAGTTCACTTAACTCTCTCCCCTACGCAGCAATGAGGGTTTTTTGTTTTTTTTTTAAATTGTTATTTTTTTTCTGTTGTTTTTACCCAAGAGCCAATTCAGGTAAATTTACTGGCTAGATTCTTTCTCATTAAAAATAAAATAAAAATAGATTTGTTGAGTCCTATGGAAAAAATGATCTTCCTTGGAAGTTATCCAAATCTCGATTATTAGACTGTCAAAAAGAAAATGAGAATTGCCTTTAGCACTACTAATATGTTAACATCAGAGTACATTTAAGATTCAGGAACAAGGTTAAGGGGGTGTTTTATTATTTGTGCCTTGAAAACAGGTTGTCATCTAGGCTACAGATCCCCTTCTAGATAATCTTGAATTTCCTATGGAAAGAATTCTGTATTCATATTTTCTATCTGACCCAGATGAAATCACAGGACACCTCTAAGCATGAGTATCTTTTGCTCTTGCAATTTGTAACTGTCTCATCTAGCAACTAAATGAACATCAAGTGCTGGAATTTTACGAGACAATCTGCCTTTGAATTTCTTTCTCTGAATAATTTACCAGTGTGTTAGTTATTAACAGATTCAATTGGGTGCTGTTGTTTTTTGGAAATCACATACCAAATCTCTCCTACTCCCTAGCCCCAGACAAATCTTTAAAATATTTTTTTCTGGAAAACAAAATTAAAACCTCTGGAAATTTAATTTTATTTAATAAAATATACTAAAAATAAGTTACCTTTAAGGAATTTTTTTACAACATAAGATGTCCAATGAAGAAAACATACTAATCCATTTAATAGCTTTATTTTTATAAATATATTTTATTCATCAAATATCCATTAGAAGTCAACAATAGTCCTTTTGTGCTTGTCTATATGATAATCAAGTACTTACCCTGGCAAAGTGATCATTTCCAAGAAGTGTTTGCAGAATCATGGGCAGCTGCTTTTCTAGATGAAGCTTATGACATAGTTGAGTCAGCTCCTCTTGATCCAAAAAGCCAGTTCCCGTGGTATCACAGCTGCTGTAGATCTCCTTGAGTAGCAACACATAGTGGTTCTCTTCTTCATCCATCTGATAGCAGGCTGGACACACCAAGGGAAAAAGATAACATCAGATTATTTTCATCGTCACTTCTCTTCATTTTTGGCCAAGGTGGTGGGCCAGGTTCCCTCTTAGGTTGAAGTAAGGTTAGGAGGAATAAGCTCTACCTCTTCAGGGCAGGTTAAAAACATGTTACCAGACAGCTAAGATACAAAATTTGGTCCTTCATCCATCCTTTGTAGGAACTAGAATTTTATTTGTTTTCAATTTTTATTCTGTTGTAGAATCATGAGAAAATAGAAGTAAGCATAAGGTAAACTAAAACTATCCAAAATTCCATCACTTAAAAAAAAAACTATTGTTGATATTTTGGTGAATATCCATTCTAAATTTTTTCTATACATACATATAGCAAACAAATAAAAATAGTTAACATCTATCTAAAATGTTTAAACTGAAACTAAGAGATACTTT